GGGGAAAAACCCCGACGCGTAAGGCTCAACTCGAAGAACTGACAATTCTTTGAGCTAGCCTTGAATATAACCCGCGGTCGACGACCTCAACGTGCATGGTGTCCCAACGTGTACCGCGTCCCAACGTGTATCTACCCTCAAACTCAAATATAACGTGTCTGAACTCAAATCCACACTAACGTCTCGAGCCATGACAGGAGTCAGATGGTATATTTCACGCACTTCAAGCTGTCTTGTGAGACACTAAGTCTCACAAGACAACTCTGGCTAGATTTTGTGTTTTGCTGACTATTTGTGAATTCTAGGCCATATAAAGAGCTTGAATCAGATCAGAGTAGTAATGGAAAGAGACCATATAGAGCGCTGTGCATGGAAACATATGAAAAACATTAAGGTCAAATCCCGAGTTGGAACTGTCAAATCCACTAGAGCTGTAAGCCTAAACCCACTTGTATGTGCGGGATTTTCTGCAAGATGGAATAATTGGAGGAAACTGGTTCTTCTAGTTGAAATGTTAGTCCATGCATATGACCCGTAGCTACAAGAAGAAACTTGTAGCGAATCAAGATGGGGACAGAGCCCAGTGTCTCTTGCACATTGACGTCGCATGGTCATTTTGAAAAAAACTTGAGCTAGACTTGAGAAGTGATAATCCAGAATTTGACGGAGGCTTTGATCTCATTCATAACATTTGATTGTTTTGGAGGGTGTGAAATTAAATTTATTGTTATTTGATTATCTTTATAATAATATTTAAGTCATTTATATGATTTTATTCCATCTAATGCATCAAAAAAATATTCAATCTAATTGAATTTCATGTCATAATCTATTAAAAGACGATGAATTACTTTTTAACTTCCTATAAAAATTTCGATTTTAAGAAAAAATATTTTACGATTTTTGAAATAAGTAGTAATTTATAAAGGAGGTATAATATTTATTTATATAATATATATTTAATTGGTTATTTGATATATCAATAATATATAGATGAGTATTTCTATTGCAATTATTTTTTAAAGTTATTACAAAAAATATGCATATCATGATAGAGAAGAAAAAAGTTGTGGTTCATTTTGATTGGCGGTACTTCTGAAAAATACATATGTTTTCCTGAAAATGCTAAATCATGTATAAAAGAAAAATACATAATCACATAAAATTTAAATTTTACATTACAACAGGCTTTTTCCTATTTTGACATTATCAAAATTACATTAACTTGAGTTTTTTACAAAATTTTTCTTCATTTATATTTTGAATTATCAAAACCTTCAAAATACATATCATTTTTATAAAAATTCATAGAAGCAAACATTACACATGACCTTAAGTATACAATAAACTTCTTAGACTTAAGCTGAATATAATGCAAAATGTAATATAATCATATTATAAGATAAAAATTTGCTAGCTTATAATTTTTGTGCTTTTTATTCAAAGTAGTTAGCACAAAATCTGCTAAAATTTTAAAGGAAAAAATTTTGATCTATGAATCAGATGTATTATATTTCAATCTTGGTTAATTCAATATTTTTTATTTGAAGCACATATTTGAAAACATTACATAAATTATTAATGTGTTTCATACTAGAATGCATCATTTAATTTATTGCAACATTTAGATTGCATCTGAATATTAATAACATGTTGTTTCAATCTCAGTTTAAAGATAAATTCATTCAAAACATTATACACCTTGTTGTTTTTTCTTTTCTTCGTTGACTTAAAAGTATTTTTTCCAAATAATTATTCAACTAACGTATACAATCCAATGCATTCATGTAACAAGTTAAAGTTCTTTTTGGTTTTTAAATCTTATACATAGTGATTATCAATGTATCGAAACAAAAATATGTCATTGTACAATAAAATTTCATGAAAATTATCAGCCGATACATTTAGAAACAGGTAGATAAAAAATCATGTGTAAAAACATGAGAGAGACACTCATGTAGTTTATCACATAAATAATTTACAATGTTTGAGGCACCAAGATCTAACTTTAGACAACTAATCATATGAAATCCCACCAACAAGGAATAATCCCAACAATTTAACTTTAAACACAAATTGCAAGACAATAACCTACTTATCCTATCTAAAAATTGACTGGAAATCTCACAAATGACTTTCTTTATTCTAGAATTAATTAAAACTAATTCGTAGCTAAAACATAGTAGAGTATAAATATATAGAGTTGACAAAAAAATACTAGTAAATTTTATTTGTGCTCCTCATGCAAAATCTGCATAATAGCACAATGTCACCTAAAACATTAGCTTTGGTTAACGCATCTCCTAGATTGAATTACCGTCAAACTTGACTAGCTCAATACTTTTATCAAAAATAGTGTACCATGTCAATCTTATCCAACTAAATAGCTTCATTTGGTGCTTTTTAAATAGCCACTACATACAAATACATGCTCATATTGCTTATAGCTAAAGCAATATCAAGCTTTGTGCACACTATCAAATACAAGAGACTCCACACGATTTTGTCATAGGATGCAGATGACATCTTTCTTTTTTCAATGACATCAGCTGTACATTGAGCTCCAAAAATTTTGAATTGTGATGTCAAAGTGTACATACTCTTTTGAATACTACCATGTTACACATGTCAAACAAGTTAAATGTAGTTGACTTGATTCAACCATAAAGTATTTTTCATCAAAACCTTATGAATATCCATACTTAATATCTTCTTGGAATTATCCAAAAACTTTATCTTAAATGAAAACTTCAACTAGTTTTTACATCTATGGACGTCAAATTAGGTTTTTGCCAAGATTAGCATATCATTCATGTAGAGTGTTAGAATAATAAGATTAAAAATATCATTATCCATCTTCTTCATATATACACAAAGATCACACATACTCACTAAACAATACTTTGCTTTCATGAACTCATCAAATTATGCCATTCATTTTATTTGAACTTGCTTTAATCCATATAATGATATAAAAAATCTACAAACTAACTTATCTTGGATTTTTTTCAAAGAAAACTAAATTATTCTTGTAGAAATACATAAAAAATACTGTAATTACGTCCATCGATCTCATTCATAATAATACTAATTATTGTTGCAACTGCACATACAAATTTTACTATACTTTGCTAAAGGTGATATTTTTTTTAATTCACAACTTGATACTTGAGTTTTATCAACAATAAAATGTTTTGTCAATTTTTGTTGTTCAATAATTTTCTCCATATGTACTGGAATGTCACATCATTAATAACATAATGATCAATCTTCACCTCAAACAATATCTGTGAGTGAAAATTCTTCCTTGTAAGTAGTGGAAGTCTTTCAATCATCTGTATTCATCAAAGTAAACATTCCTACTACTGACAATAATGTTACAATCTACTAGATATCATATTCTATAATTATTTACACCACTAACATATCCAAGAAACAAAAAATCTTGTATGTGTGATCTAACTTGGTTATATTTTACTTAGTTATGAAAGTACAATCCGTACAATCAAAATACTACAATAAGCCGTGTGTTTGTGCTCTATATCAAACGGTGTCAAAAACTTGATTGCATTAGAAGAACAAAAGTATACTAAATACATTGAGATATTTACAACTTCAATCCAAAATCCTTATGTTAAATCAATTTGTATCAACATACTACGCAACTTCTCCAATCCAATTTAATGGAGACGTTTATAAACAACAATATGTTGCGAGGTATAAATGGTGGTGAGATTATGAGTAATAACCTACTCTTTGCAATAACGTCAAAACTACTCAAAAGTATATTACATGCCATTATCAGTAAATAAATATCTCATTATGTATACAATCAATTGATTGACAAATTGTACGTGAATTTTTTGGATTTTCAAAACTTGGAATGTTTCATCTTTACATTCAACCACATTATAACAAAAGTTATAAAAAAATATTAGCACATCTGAAAAATGGAAGTAAACCATCATAGTGTTAATGCTTTAAAGGAGATGCACAATTGCTATAGACAAGTTTTGTGATTTCCATAACGGTTTGCGCGAGGAAAAACTAATTAATTGGATAAATCTCACATCGATGTATCAAAGAAATTAAATAGTTAGAATTCTTCGCTTCTCTTCCGAGCGAGATCGACAAGCTACCAATGGGTGACGCGCTCTTTCTTGGTAGATTTCTCACAACCTTTTAAAGTTTATTCACCGTTCATCTAATGATTTTCGTACTATAACTAGTCTGGCTGATTTGCACGGTGTCAACCTAATGATCTTTTCTTCAAGTGAAGAGAACAAACCAAATTCATCATAACGTATTTCAAAGGAAAGAGTTCATACTCCTTCATCTGGAGTATGGAGAAAGTGAGAAACCTTGTGATGATGTGATTGCTAGAAAAACGGACTGCGCTGAAATTATGTTGGGACCTCTTTGCTCTGTTTACAGTCTTGCGCTTCCCGACGACGTAAAGAACCGTCCGGCCGATCAGATGGATCAATCTGTTTATGAGCTGTTGTTGTGTTTGACTTGATGTGCAAGGGGCGTTTGCATCTTGTACAGACGGCGTGAGTCTCGTACCTATTATGACTGATCTCCGATGGTGGCATAGCCCTCTATTTGGTTCCACCGGATGTACATTGCTCATATTTACTGTTTTCTAATTTATATCATTGGATCTCTGCAATTCTTATGCTCGAGCACGAAGAGAAGCTCGCAGAAAAGAAGCTCAATTATCCTTATGGAGATGCACCACATCATGTCCTAAACACAATGAAGGAGAAGGAGATAAAATGAAGGAGATATACTGCCTGTGGCAGTAAGTTGGTGTATAACAACGCGAGCTTCAGTCTGGGGGTAAACTTGTACAAGTATTTGTCTATTACGATCCCGGCATTCTCAGGAATAGAACTGAAGTGGAATTTCGGAGTTACAAAGCCGACAACCTGAAGGACCAATGATGGCAATCGAAGAAATGCATCCAGTAAAGGAAAATGATATTGATAAGGTCTAGAGTCGTCCAACATTCCTTCAGAAGACAGTTAAATTCCATTCTTTAGGAGTTCTGATGTCTATAGAAGTCCAATTTCTGGCCAAATTCGTCGTCGTTAGAATTACAGCTTAATGAGGCATAGGGTTCGATTTAAATACACTCTGGCCCTTTGATTACATGTACAATTTCTTGCTCAGCTTGATTCTAGAAACCCAACACACGGAGCCTTATCACCTTGTGCATTGCCTACCACTAAAGAGTGACAGAATCTCCCTGACAAGACATAACAGAAGGCGCACCACTATGATACAGTTGTTATGAATATGAACAGATCAGATAAAGTTACTCATTGCCACCAGCTTCTGGAGGGCCTTTCGTCGCTCTCTTCTTCCTCAAATTGCATCTCTTCAAACCTCTGTAATTCTTGAAACTCGGCCACAACAGCTGCCACTGCACCTCTAGCTTGGCCGTTGTTTGGATCCAAACGCACTGCATCCTGGAAAAGTTCCTTGGCTTGAAGCAAAAGTTTGACTCTCTCTCTATCACCCATTGGTCGAAGTCTTGAGCGATCTTTCATGGCCAATCCCCAATTGTAAAGAGCTGCAGTGCACAATCAGAAGACCAGGCCTCAGTGCACACATAAGCTGAACCTAAACAGCTGCATAAATTGACCATTACTTCGCTACTTGCTCCTACGAAGACGTTGCACTAGCACAAGCAGAAACAGTGGAAAAATCAACTGCTTGAGATAGTAAAACACAGTGAGAAACGAGGTCATGAGCCTCACTTCTACGTCCTGCTAACCATTACGGCATTGAATGTCGCCTATAAAAGTCACATTGCTAATTCATAAACCAGCTCTACAATCATGTTACTGTGGATCCAGGACAATAATCACATGAACCTGTAAAGTTCATTGTCTAAATTAAATCAAGTCCATTCTGGGCTGTTTGTCAGCGGCAGAGATATAAGAAAAGCAAATAGTACGTTAGATGTGTATCTGATAAGTGAGTTCAGTCCTAGCTGGTGATAAAACGAGTCGAAAGAACGGAGGGGAAAGATAGTGACGAACCACCACCAGCATACTCCTGACTGAGTCCCAGCATCGCTTCAAACTTGTCTATTGCCGCCAGATACACTTTGTCAGCATCTTGGATCGCCCTCTGCGTAGAGAAAAGTCGGCGGTGGTAAGCTTTTCGATGCCTTGATTCCAACTGAATATAGTTGAAATTTATAAAAAGCACAGTTTAAAGCTTCAAAATCGATTAAAGTCTACAGCAAGGGCTACGGCAAAAGAGCAAACCTCTCCACCCTCGTCGGCAATCAGCTGACCACGATAGCACAGGGCTAGACCCCAGTTATAAAGTGCTCTCATATCTGCCCGATCTAGAGTTAGGGCCGTCCTGTACTTTCTGCCAGCATCCACCAGGAGTTCTTCACATTCTTCACAAACGTTCTGCAAAGTCAACTCCAGTGACTCTCGTTGCTCGTCCCGCCCCGCCCTAGCTCTCGTCATGGAGTAGGATGAGTTCGAAGACGGAATCATACTCCTCAACTGCTGGCTAAGTTTAAGCTTCAGCTCTCCATGCACCAACAGTGTGTTGCCCCAATATCCCATTGCAATTAGGCTGGAAGGATTGATTTCAACGGCTTCTTCAAACAAATTCGCAGCTTCATACAACATACGCTCTGCGACACCAACCTCAATTCGTCCTTCTAGCCCTTGCATCCCTTCCTCCAGCAAAGCCTCTCCCTCATCAAGCAGCCTGTCAAACTTCTCCAGTTGCATGCGGTTGGGCTGTCTTACAGGCAAGTTCCTTTGTGCAGGCTCAACCTCACTCTCACCATATGCAGGTGAATCAGAATTTCTTAGCGTCGATTCTGAACCGTAAGTTGAACCTCTTTGCACCTCCCTTCCTGAACTTTGGGGCCCTGCCCAACTCTTTCTTCCAGTGCCATACTGAGTTTCTTCCTCTTCCATGCTTCTGGCCTCCTTCAGGTATCGAGTTTCTTCGTCTTCATAGTCATCTTCTTCCTCAACTATCTGTTTCGTGCTTCGAGAGTTAACAGGGACTCTGGAGCTTGAACTCGTCCTGTTGAAGGAATCATAATTCCCATTCAGGTCCCTGCCACTCTGGGACGCACCTTCCTCATCATACAGTGAGCCCCTCCTGTCACTGCCAGAATACTGTTCTAAGTCTGTGGCATTCCTCTCGTCGAGAATTTCCTCTTCTTCTTCTTCATATATTATCCGTCTACCGCTTCGTTTGCTGTTGGGCACCTTGGATCTGCTTGTCTCCTGAGAACCGTATCTGCCATCTGGGCTACTGAAACTCTCGTCATCGCCTGCTTCCCCGAAGTTTTTTCTTGGATATGAACCCCTTCCGCTGTACTCACCGGCAGGAACATTCCTCATGTTAATATCTCTCTCATCTTCTTCGTACATCCGTGCTCCTCCAAACGATCGTTTGCTTGATGTAGGTTCATCTATCACAGAGTTGTAATCCCACTCTTCTCGTTCTTCTGGCACATACTGCTTACCAGACATGATTGCCTGCCCAGATCTCTCTGCTGGGTCTTTCCTTCGCACCTGTCCTTGGCTCAACTGCTCATCCTTCCAAACACCTCCTCGTCTTCGAGGCAACTCATTGTCCACGTTATCTACCGATCCCACACTGCCTCTACGAGTGGAGTTCATCTGGGTCAGCGTACCCCGCTGAGTCCTACCTGCCTTTGGACTATTGTTGCCCCAAAGGTCCACACTGAGCTTTGGATTCCCTCTTCCTGCCGAGCTTACATAGAGAGCAACATCCCTGTCATCCTCCCCCCACCTTCTGCTGGAAGCGCCTGCAGGTGTGTGCTGTGTGACTACAGTCTCCCATGGGAGAAGTTCATTCTCATCGATGGTGACATATTCTGAACCCGGATTATAATCATCACGCCATGGATCAGGTGATGCCTTCTCCATGACGATCATATTCATGAGCTGGCCCCCTTTGCTGAAATCGTTCATAGGAGTAGGCTCCTCGACCTCGATACTGTTAACAGGAATGAGAGCTTCTAGCTCAAGAGAGGGAAAAACCTCTCTGATTGTTTCTTGTTCCGTTGGCAGTACAGCAGTTTTCAGCCCTGCAATATCTGTTGCAGATTCATCTGCGCTATCAGAGACCAGCTTCATGCTGTTCACCTGTTCTTGTGAATGACTACTATCCAGCAAATTGGCTTGTCCAGCCCTGAATCTCCCAATGTCGCCATCACCTTCTCGAGTTGTCACTTGGCTCTCGATGCCACTTGCTGAAGCAAGTGATATAGGGGCCACGGGGGTGAACTCCGCCACAGTTTCCAGTTCGTAATCTGTAGTGATGACTTGATAAGTGCCAGCGCCTTGGACACCTTCCTTGAGTGCAGCGCCTTCGTTAGAACGCTCCAGTGGTTCCCGCAGAAGGTCACTTGAGTATGAGGGATTCATGCTCACAACATTCCTTCCCTCTTCTTGTGAACCCAGGTCGACTCGTTTTGATTCGCTCCAATTTAGGAGCGATGATTTATCTTCATACTGTGAATTCTCCTCAAAGCACCTCTCAAAGTTCACTTCGACCTTGTCTAGAGGCATCTGAAAAGCCATGCCATCACCTCTTGTACGCTCTTCGACGGGCACTGTGTCCAGCACTGCAGCACGCTGCAGCTTGGACTGTAGAAAACTTTCTTTGGCGTGCAGCACGGATGCGGCTCTATACAAATCCTCGCGAAGCTCACTGAAGCCCAATTGTAGCTTCATCATATCATTCACAGATTGCAAATCTACAGCAGCCATCTCGCTGCCTAGATTGTCAATAATGCTCGTCAGGTGGTTTACACACTCAGCAGCATCCTTGACGTTTATCGATGGACCAGCTTCGACGGTCCCGTTGGCTGTTCCAGAGGTTTGAGAGGTAGGCCAACTGCTAGACAAGTTATACAATCCATTCGCTGGTGTCGTCCTCAGTGCTTGATCCTTGAAGCTGATGGGCTTAAGACGGGCAGTCCTTATAAAACTTCCCTGGAGAAATTGCAGCTTCTCGCTCAAGATGAAAATTATGGGTTTTAATCTTTGGTGGAATCCACCGAGACAGAGGAACAGGACGATCGCACCTACAGAGAAGAGAGAAGAACCTCTCAGGACTCGGATCGCCGCCAGTCCTGTGAGTGCCAGGATCCCCAAAAAAGCCAGTCGTTCTCCACTGCTCGTGGGCTTAAGATCCCAGGCCGTCCAAAAATCCGTCCGATTTTGCACACCATCTTCCCACCTACGGCTCGATTCCCAATCCCCAGCTCCTCCCGTAGCTACCGCTGCTCGAGGTGTACGACAATTCCTTCCTCTCTCGAAATGGCCAAGTCCGTCAGACCATAATCTGCGAGAATTGAAGCGCTTGGAGCTCCCACACTGTATCGCAAAAGAACTCCTGCTCAGCTCAGAAATTCTTACCCCTCCAGACATGAAGAAATCTACTCCTACGCGTCGTATGCCATATGCTCTTCTTCGGCCACGATTTTTCTCGGAATTCAGAGGAACACCAACCAAGTAACCAAGGCCCGACATTGGCTGCGGAGGTAAACATCCGCTTGCAAACCGCAGGAGATTCACAGAAGCAGGAGCAGCAGCAGCCATGGCTGCTGGCTCGGAGCAAGAGATTCGACTCACTCCACAGCTACAGGTCCCTCAGAGCTCATCCGGTCTTCCGATGGATGATTTCTACACCTGGGACAACAACCGGCAACCACGTCGCTCGATACTGACTACAAATTTTTCTTCACAATCTCAGACGAGCAGACACACAGTTATCTGCTCGGTACAGATCCACGACGGTCGGACGGAGGGAGCTCCGGAACCCAGTATCTCCTTCGAGCTTCGATTCATGCTCCATCGATTCATTCGCTCTCGGAGCTCGTAGTCCGCGGTCGATAATATCCGGTCGGTCCGCCTCTCGTCCACAGCCCCATTCACCCCATTCGTTCAAACGCAGCCCAAATCAGGCCCACACTCACGAGCACGACAGCCATTCTGTTCATGTCCAGTCACTTTTTGGAACCTTCAAACGAACAGATCGTCTTCTTCGTAAAGCAGCCAGAGGATACTTCGGTCGTCGTCGGCACTAGTTTTTAACACTGTCATTGTAATCCTCATTTCAGTTTGAGAAATTTGGTTTATAAAATTATGTGCTTCAGTGGCTGCAAATCTCTCAGCTAAATAGGGAGATACACGAGCCGATGATACATAGAACGAAAAAATTGTTTTCCAAATTAAAATTTGATCCTTTAATCTATAGCCCTTTCCTGGTTGATTGGAAGTATCTCCTCCAATTAAATATACTTTGTGGTGCCCTCTCTTTGAGAAGTGACTGTTAATTTCCCTGATGTATTCCAATCTAGCAAGAAAGGATCCCTTGGCAAATACCCTCTAAACTATCATGGATATGTTTCACATTTTTTTTTATACGGCTGCATGTTGACACTGCGCAGCACCATGAATGAGTCTTAGGTTAGGGGCACCAATATTCACTTGGACATGTTAATTTTCATAGCCATCCCATTATTTTTCTTTTTCGTGCCTAAGTTAGTTTCATGTCTACCACTAATCTTTCTCTCTTACAAGTCTTTGCCTTAATCTACAAAGACATTTTGTTTAGTTCGTTTCAGTGTGTAGTACAAGTTGCGTGACAATATGTACACATTTATCATGACATTGAAAGCTATCATGAATAAAGGGTGACAGAGCATGCGTTAAATGTGAAGTGTTACGAGGTTAATTACCACACACGCTCAATTTAGGTGTGCGTGATAACCAAGTACATGAATATCTTTTTAACATGTCACAGAAATGCACTCACAGTGTATTATGCGCACAAACTGTGCCTGAAAGGTAAATCAATTGTTGTCCTTCAAAACATCTTCTCCAACTGAATTAAAAACCATGAATTTAATATTTCTAACCTTCTTGTTGCTAGAACCTATTCTGTTGTGCTCATTTACAGTGAGTACTCTAATCCTTCCGGATACCTTCACTCCATCTATAACGACAGTAAAAAATGAACTCTATTCCCCTTTTAAAATCTGGTGTAAGCGATGTCTGGACATGTACCTTCAATCCGAATGAAAAATTGGAAAAAAAGAAAAGGAGATAAATGTAAAGTTTATTTGGACTATGCCGAGGGAAAAAAGTTAGGAAAACGAAAGGATTCCGGGACTTAGTAGCTACCATAATCATCAGACTTTCCGTTACGTAATTACCGAATCTGAGAATCTAACGAAAATGTAGAGAGTGAACTCCATCGGAAGGTGGGGATTGTAAACTAGCACATCTTGCAGAGCCTCGGACGGATTCGGCTTTGGGTACCGGCAACTCGATGGGTTCATGACAGGTGCCGGTCGGCCCACGAGAGTTTCGAGTCCGGCTTTGGGGGTGATGTGGTCAGCGCAGAACTGATTTCTCATGTCAACAAAGCGTCTTCTTGATGATGCACTTTGGTCGTCGATCGTCTTCTTCCATCGATCGCGGACCTCCTGTAAGTGAGAATGCAGATTCTATGCAGATTTTGAAGTATTGAATTAAAGCCGAGTTTAACGGTCACCGTTTGATGGATTTTGTCAGCGAAATTTTTTTTTTGCCAATTGTTTCCGGACGATGAAAGCTTGAAAGCTTGCTCCAACGAATTCAATTGCTGGTAGTTCCTGGAAATATCACTGTCGTTAATTATGTTTTCGCGTGCGTTGAGCGAGGAATCTACTCGCTTGCTTTCACTCGCTGTGTCCGAGAGCCTCTGCACAGATTGCACAATCGTCCGTTGAGCCTGAAGTAGCTCGATCACAATGTCACTAATTCGTGATCTTTATGAATTTTCAGTGCAGAAATCGTTTCGAACAGGTCGCAACGCATTTTTGTCTGTGATGACTGTGTGGGTTCACTCGAAAGCAAGTCTTTCTAGCTATCTCAATGAAAGTGATTGTACTAACATTGTCTGTTATCTCCAGATACCAAGTCTGGAAGCATCTGGAGGCGTGCTGTAACATCACTGAACGCATGATCTTTGCCTGTGGTTTCTGAGCCACTTGATTTTATTCAAGTTGCACCGAAACCCCTAGCAACTGATCATGGCAGACGATGTGCAAGCCATGATATTTTACTATGCGCGGATTGGATACGGCCAACACATACAGAATTTATGTTCTAAACACCTCCAGAAGCGCCCGAAGGATGCGGTGCTAATATTTTGGCATGTACGAATTTTGTGAATCTCGGGCTTTCTTCGGTTTCCTCTCCATGATCTGCAGAATGTGGCCCCAAGTTCTATGTTCTGTTGTTTATGCATCTCCTGATGATAAATAATTATCAGTTGTCTCTTCAAACACTTGAATCTCACCTCATCCTTAGACACTGAACGATCTGCTCATGAGAGGCCCTTCCAATGAAAATCTGATGTGGTCATGGTCTTAGCTTTCCCCCTGTCCAAGATTCTGGGCTGATGATTGAAGTTTGCCTGGGAGCCTGGGTTCTTTGTCACCATTCCATGGCGCAAATGCAGGCTTTGCTGCTCAAGCTTTGTAGCCTCGCTATCGTGTTTGTTGCTTACAAGGACGGCGATCCATTCTGGTGTTGTAGGCCTTTGGACTCATCTTGGAAGGTTCCTACGCTGACGCCTTGCAAGAACTGCAAGGGGTAAGTGAGCAGAGGGATGTTGAAGTTGTTGCGGTCGCTGCAATGCTCCATGCACACCGTCTTTGTGCTAGCGTTGACAACGAAGAAGTCGAAAAGCTCGAGCAAAGATTGCGGGTTGTCGAGAAGTGCGGTTCGGAAAGGGCACTCTACCTTGCTGCAACGCTGTACCTATATCTCGGCGGAACGAGCAACGTGAAAAAAGCGAAGGAGCTAACAGCTAAGTAAGTGCCCATATACTGCGGCTAAATGTATGTGGAATCCAAGTACACCCAACCTTGCTCATAGACAGGTGAGTCACGGGCTTCTATCATCCTGCCCCCATGGAGATTTTGAGAACTTTTATCGCCGTCATTGACAGGTGTCCTCCGAAGGTACGTTTCCAGCAGAACATCCTACGTGTTCTGCAGATGGTCAAATCACTGATGGTATCACAGGAGCACGTATGGAACATTTGTTGCGTCCAGCTGATTGCCCGACGTGTAACTTTGAAATCTGGAAGATTATCGTAAACAATCAGAGGCCGTGTATTGGGTCGAAGATTAGAATCTTTTACATTATGGTTCTAGATCTGATCGTTATTTTGAGAAGTACTCTAAAATATGATGACTTGTTTTGTCTAAGGATATTACAAATCCAGCCACATTATGTTCCTTTCGAGTGCTTGTCAGCCTGGATTGGACTTGAGCTGGAAAGTGAAAGAAAGAAGACTTCCGAGAATACCAGTCAGAGCCAGAGACTGGATTCGGATTGCATGGAGGCTTCCCTGCATGTGTTTGATGAAGTGCTTGGACGAGGGAACTGCATTGATGCTCTTATTGGAAGAGCTTACTATTATGAGCTCAAAGATGAGTTTGCGAAGGCGATAGATGAGTTGAATCAAGTACGGAAGATTCGCAAAAACATCAACACCTATATACTTTTCAGAGTTTTGAGACTAAATTTATGGATAACCTGTAAGGAAGTCCCCTTAGATTCAAGAAGACCATGAGCCTCAAAGAATAGTCAATGTTTACTGTTTGAAGCAGGGAGCATAGGAAGGTAATCAGTTAATCTTGGAACTGAGTGTGGCAGGTCATTGTTGCATATCCATGGTATCTACCAGCCTTGTGTGAGAAAGGAAGGTTGGGAATGCTGCTCCAAGACTGGGATCTCGTACAGGAAACATCACAGCTCATTCTTCAGAGGGTAATCTGTGTTGCTCTTGATCGAACCTGTTACAGAGCATCTCACCATTAACACTCTGCGTACAAAGGAAGAATGTTTTGTGTATAGGAATCACTATTTTAACACTTTCCTCGACCATATTCTGATGAACATATGCTTGACTGAGTGAGGATGATTACGTGAGGAGTGAACGTTTTAGCCGTGACCTGACCCATTTGCCCACAGGTTTGAGTGTAAGCAATAAAGAGTGTAGCTAGTGAACTTTGGGTCTGTTCCTTGTCATAGTACAATTGAAGATCTAGAATCTCACAAACTTGTGATTAACCCTTCGATAGGATCCCCACAACATCGAAGGTTTGCGCTTGACCATCCACGTGATGCTATGTATTGGGACTGAGGCAATAAATGCCACAAACGTACTGGACAAATTACTAAGGACTATTGAAGAAAGAGAAACGTGCAATGGAAATCTTTGTCTTCAAGGTATTTCCGTCATTGCTTCAACTGTAAATGGTCCTTCATACGCGTTACATTTGAGATGAATATTTATTCAATCTCAGCGGCTATTTGTATCAAAATATACGACATTCTGAAATCTCTGGAGACTTTTATGACAACAAATTTTGTCTGTCCGCGGATTTTAACAACAGGAGAAGAACCTTGTTGTGGCCTGGAATTGCTGCTATCTAAAAAAGTGACTCTGCGAGGTTGACGGTATCCAGTCTGGACTAAGTGCAAGGTGTATGTACATTTGCAGTTTCGGCCCCATTGGCAAGAATCGCAGGAAGAGGCTGCCCATCTGTCTTGCGCAAAACTTTGGCTCTTATCAAGAGAGCAGAAGGGCTGCTACCGAAGCATGCGCAGCTCTTTATGGAGATGGCAGATCAAAACTTTTTGGTGGGAGATTATAAAGCAGCACTCGAGAACTACAGGTGAACCTTATCGTGCGATTTGCTTTGAGAGAAACCCAGGGCGTTAACTTTGAAGAAGATGGTCCTTCGTTGTTATCGAAAATATAATTCTGTTCACTCGAGATCTCCAGAATCCCTCTGTTCCAGAAGAGGTTACTTTGATCATTTAGTGAAGCACTGAAGTCTGGAACCATCTCGGAATACAGGTTAGCGTCTCAACTGGATGAGCTGAGTATGGAACCCATGTATGGGTCCGTTCAGTGTCTACTTGTGCTTGGTGAGGTTGAAGAAGCAGAGCAACAGCTTGAACTCCTTGTGGAGATTTCTGTTTCAATGGGAAAATCAGCTAGTCTTTGTTACGTCATGGCTCAATTGGTTTGGAAGAAAGAAAAAGATTACAGCCGTTGTCGAGACCTCCTAGCCGAGACTATCGCACTGCAGAGTAAGGTGAAGCAACTAGTGTTCAACTTGTTGCGTGTTAGCAAGGACGTGAAAGATTCTTTTAACCTTGTTCTTCCTCATAGCAGCAAGTGGTCGATAGGCTAGTGTGATATATCCTTCAGGAGAGGGACCATGCCTTCATAGCGTCAATTTGACAAATTTGGCTCCCTACATTTCAGTTGTAGTTACTATAGAGTTAGGTACACCCGTTATCGCAGTATCATATTGTCGCAAATACGCGCTTTGTTGTTTACATCAAGTGCAACATCGTAAACCATTTCTCTACACGGCTGCAGGTCACGACAAAGAGAAAAGATTACAGATTTTACACCGAATTGAATCCTGATAGGCTTCGTAGCATCGCAAATCTCTTCTTGGTCCTGTCCAGATATGTTTGCAAGGGTATATGCGTGGACCGAAGCTTCTGTTTGCAGCAAAGCGTGCTTCTGCTGGAGCTGGTCCTAGATATTATACCCGGCCATTTGACAGGGTACCTTATGCTTGCTGAAGTCCAAATTCAACTCGATGAATTCGACTCAGCTCAATGCACTCTGCAAGCAGCTCTTGGCCTCGATCACACGTTTGCAGCTGCTCAGCTTCTACTGTCCCAGGTCTGTCTCTTAGACCGTCGTGGTTTAAGAGAGAATCACCTGATTGTGACGTTTATGGTTGAAAGCAACAGATTTAATTGGTAAGAGCGGCCGCTTGATCCATCGGAGAATGTTCTTTGCCCGTCCATTAACAGGTACAAGTCCAGCTTAAGAATTTTGATACGGCCAGGCAAAGCTTGGAACAGGCTTTGAGTGACAATTTCATGGTTCGTGAGACCGTGAAGTACCATGTAATCCAAGCCCATATACTTTTACATTATAAGGAGAACGAGGAAGCTTTGAAGGTAATTCCATTCTATCGCGGACCACGTCTATGGTAGAAAGAAGCCATTACATAATGTGTTTCGCAGCTACTTGATGGAAAACTAATATTCAATAATTTAGAGAGACTCCATGTATATTTCGGTCTTTCTGTTGCATTGACGTACGTCTGTACATACTGACTACGACTCCTTCCATAATACTTCCATTATATCTTCCTCGTGAAATAAAATTTCTTAGCAATCTCAGTTCCTGATAGGTAGATTAATAAGACGACACCCAGTACATCTGGCTTGCTTTTCTAGTCGGGTGACAAAGCTCTTCTCGGTTGTTAAAAAAAACTGGCATTGACTTGTGACAGGTTCTTGAATCAGCGATGTTCCTACAAGGAATGAAACAGGTCTCCACAGACATGTACGAAGCCTACTATTCAAGTACTGACCTAAACGCATTGGGACAAACAGCTGACAGTGATCGTGTGCTCGTGTACTTGCTGTTAGCTGACGTTCACATGCGATTTGGCCATACACTTGAAGCTACGAAAACCATCCAAGATGCTATGAATGAGTTTATGGGAACTCCCGAAGAGGTAGTGGCAATCTTGTGCTGCACAGCTCCGCAAGCAGTGCTGGGTGATGCTGTGCATCTTATGTCTTCGTCTCAACAATGCTCTGTCGAACTTACTCTCAGCAAAGCTATATACTATTATACTTAATTGCAGAAGAGACAAATCAGAGCAGACCACTTAGATGGGATGGGTTTTGCAGACTGCGAGAAATGGAAGTGCACAGTATATTTCTAACAAATATCTAAACCGATTGTCACCCGGTAAAAAATCGTATAGGTTAGTTTGGCTTTTTCTGTCTTGTCTCATTTTAATCTTTACACCTGATCTGTGCAAGTGGTTTCGCTTAGTTGCTAACAAACAACATATCCACCGTTAAAGGGTATTCACATGCGTGGCAAAGCAGGCGCAAGTTGTTATTGCTAGTGCCAAATTGGCTCTACAAAGAGACGAAGTGAGTAAGGCTCTTGCTATACTCAAACAGGTAAAACTCGTTGTGTGGATCCTCTTTGTTAATTTATTCTTCGCGAACGTTCTTACCGTCTGTTATACCACCCTCTACTGGTCAATGCTTAAAAGCATTGTGCGAGGTTTCACCGAAGGCATTATGCGTTTTTTAACAGGTTCCAGTCGAGAGCATATACTTTATCAAGGCAAAGGTGACTATGGCAGACATTTACATCAATCACTGGCATGACAAAGCCATGTACGCAAACTGCTACAGGGAATTGGGTGAATTCTTTCCTAGTGCCAAGGTTATTCATTATCTTCACTCTCGTGCTCCTTCTGCCCTTTTTTTGTGTTTTCTTTTCGCTTCATCAACATGTTCTGGATGTGGATCATAAGCAGCTTGAGTATAAGGTTTTCAGTCCAGCTCTGCATAAGCTGATTGTTCCGTCTTGCTTGTTGTATTAACTTGTGACTATGAGTTATCCAGACATTTCTTATGCTTGGTGAAGCGTACATGAAAGTCGATGACTTACATAAAGGAGTTGAAGCATATGAGTCAGCGATGAGAGAAAGCCCCAAGGATGGTAGCGTAGCAGCTCAAGTTGGGAAAGCTCTATTTACAAGCCACAACTACGAGAAGGCCATTGAACACTACACTGCCGCCCTGCAAACCGTTGATGAGGGGGTTTGGAAACTTGTATTATATTATGACCTAGCAGGTAAGGATTCATGATATAAATCATCCAAATTTAGTGTGCTTACTTTTATCTTTGGCGTATCTTCTTGCAGATAACTCAGAGCGTTCAAAAACCCTTCGACCAATGTGACTCACCCATGCGCTACTTCATTCAAATAAGTGAACTTTTCACCAAAAAAAAATTAGTAGTAGCAGGCGTTGTCGGCTGTTCTTTATTTTGTACGTCGGCGCCTGCATAAGATTGTAGATATGTAAAACTTATGAATGTATTTCTGTCAATCTTTACCTCCAAGCTGAGGTTGGTATGGAATTCACCATCTTTCTGTAATTACTTTCATTACAGCCTAGGAGTTGCTGCTTTGTCAGAATCATATTACAAGCTGAAGAAGTATGGTCAAGCTGAAGCTTTGCTTACTGATATGCTGGCGAGAGCGGATATCGATAGTCCACACAAGGAGTCGAGAAAGACATCATCTCTTATGCTCTGTCTTAAGGGTTCTCTGCTTCTATCCAAAGTACAGAATCTTCTAGGGACATCTGGAACCTTGGCTGAGGTGCTTAACTCCCTAAGATTCTATCTTTTATGATGTTCAAAACTCGGGCTTTATTATCAACCCAAAGAACCTAGGACACCAGCATTGAAAATCGCGCCACATTCATGAAGGTAAGTAATTTCTTCACAGGAGAGCAGGCGCGGTCGAGCATTTTGTCAAGGTACCTGCATCATTACAAGGTATATTGCGTTGCCTTGGTAATAAATTGCTCACTTTTCCTTCCTCCGACTGCTTAGCGACCCTGAGAGGCGGTTGCACAGAGGTATTATAACTTAGAGATATGAAATACACTTTCTGCTGACATCGTGGCTTCTCGAGCTTATGTACTCGAGCAGCCACGTACCACAGTCCAGCGCTTCATTTAAATAAATCGATTCTACTTATCGAGTCCTCATCCACTGTTCTCAGTATTAGCTCATAGCCGTCGAGGCATCTTCTCACCTTCGTTGAGGGTACTCTCGAGGTGATCTGGGAGAGCTTTGCGATGTGGCTTAATACCAGGGAGGTTCAAGCACCATCAACATCCACATCGAGGTGTTATGAGATAGACCTTAGTCTGTATAACTAGTCAACCTCGTATACCTGACTGTCAAAACTATTTAGCAGGTAGTTAAGATTCTGCGGATGTCGTAAAAAAGGTTTTCAGAAGCAGATTTGTGGGCTTGGAATGGTCAGGTCATGTCAAGCGTAAGAAATCTTCAATCTCGGTTACTTCCAAAACTCCACGGACAGCATGGACTCATTAAGGAGGACGCTATTAAGGAGCAGAACTGTGTTGCTGCTGACATCTACTACCAATTCGCAAAGGTTTGTTTGCGTTACCTGTTTTACAACTACGTATTTTATTTCTACCGGTTGCTAAACATGTAAGAAGTAAGCTTGATCAAAATTGTCAAGGTGCTGAGTGTTTTGTAAAATTTTCAGGAATGTGAAGCGCGAAGGGACTTAGATAAAACAGTAACTCTTCTTCATGAGGCCTTGAAGTGCAACCCAGCACACAATCAGGCTATTTTGGCACTTGCAAGAATTCATCTATCCAGGTTCAGGAGTTTGCCGATCCGGTTGTGGCTTCTCGGTGGAGACATCAGTAAATATGAATGGGAAAGAAATATAAGTCACTGCTGTAATAGAGCTATCTAGATTATCCCTATGCCGTTGAATAAGATCTTCTGACACAAAGTAACTTGGGTGCAAAACTTTTAACATGCTATTCCTGATCAATAGGCGATTCGTATCTCGATGTTTGAGATGACTGTGTATACTTATTGCTTCTCATTCTTGTAAATTTGTCACTTCTGACATGTCTACGATTGGCAAACCTGCAGTGGGGACATAAGTGAAACTGAGCAGAAATGTGCATCAATTCTTAGGGCTGATCCTTTCAATTCAGAAGCGGGGGATATTCTTGTTCGTTTGATGCTGAACAAAGAACACTATGAGTCGGCAATTATCCACTTCAAGCAAAACCTGGAGAGGGATCCAAATCACTACTTTTCTCTAGCACAGGTAGATGACAGGAAGCCGGGAAAAACCACTTTTCCCACTTTATGTCCGTGTTAGACAGGTCTGGTGACAAATACCAAGTTTTTAAGTTACAATGTATCATACGGAAGATGATCGAAATTTGGTACTGACTTTCTGCTATTTTTATTCTACCATATTCTATGCAAAAGAGATGAGTTACTCACAGATATGTTGAATGTGTCAGCTCATAAGGCTTTTACGATGTGCTGGACAAAGTGATGAAGCTCAACAGTACGTGCTCATCGCGCAAAAAGCATCGTCAACTTCTCACACGCATGCTGGGCTATACTACTGCAAAGGATTGCTTGCTCGCTACTTGAACAACCCCCATGAAGCTGTTCAAGTCAGTATTTATTTCTGAGGAGTTACCTCTCCAATTCAAGAGGACAGCTAGGATATTTCAGTTATAAATATTTATCCTTCCAATGTTGCAAACTGGGTCAATGCAGACCACAACAGTTTAATTGAGACGAGGTTAGTATTCATGACCTTTTAATTATGTTGAACGTTTATGTAGATGCTGAATCGTGCACGTTCAGATCCCGAATGGGTGAAGCCAGCAATTTGCCTTCTCATTGAAATATACCTCAACATCGGTAATGAACTCGTATGGGAAGAAGTGAACTTGGAGGGAACCAATCCTAGTAGTGAAGAAGGTATCAAGGCTGCGTGGAAGCTTTTGGGCGAAAACAGGTACCTTTCGGATTATTTCGTTGACGCCCATGACTTGCCTTGTAATGAAGATTGTAGTTTCAATCGTTTTATTATTTGCTTGTCAACATCAGATGCTGACCTCGCATGCACTTCGGGTTTTGTCCAGTCCCTGAAGGAAATTGACTCAGCTGATATCTTCCTTATCATTATCTCTCACTCCTCAGCAGTTACGACACACTTCTTACAGCTATCAGCATTCAACGACACGTTGTAAGGTTATTTTAGTTTCACAAAGCAGAGGGAGGTAGACTAAAATTCTCAGCCAACTTCTTGAAGAATTCTTCATCTTCTTCCGTGAAGAAGAATTTTTTCGTGCAGCATTATACGCTCCTGCGAGCCCTTTATCCATTGCAGTTCACTGCAGTGGAGGCAACCGGTTGCCAAAAGGTGCTCCCCCCACAAGTGTGTAAAGCGTGAGACTCGAATACAGGGCCTGGTGTGAGCCAGGCAATCTCAGCTCACTTGGGAATAGATCCATCTTGATGTCTTGGTTATTAGGCAACCCAAGTGAATATACACTGTGTTGACATTTGAGTTTAATCGCATTTATCAACCGACGTACAGTACTGTTCGTCTTTACTTGGGAAGTTTCCAGTTTTCACGTCTTCTTTTTCAGAGCGATGTTGAAAAGGTTTACGCCAGTGTTTTTGCCTTTCAAGCAGACTATTGGACGGGCAGTCCATCAATCAACTGGTCCTTGAGTGCTACGGAACCATGGCAACGAGGCAAAAAGCAGATATTGAATTCGCCCTCGGAAGGCTGACCGAAAGTGTACCGAAAGAAGAACAAAAAGTCTCGGTTTTACTGGCTATGGCAACTGGATTGACTTTGCTCAAGCAGACGGCTAAGGCTAAGAATCAGCTTCGAATAATCGATCGAATGGTGTACAAGTGGGAAGATGGCGAGGCATTTGAGCGTGCATGGCTCATGCTCGCTAATATACTCATGCAGGTACATGTACATTGCGATGCGGCAAATGTGAAGTTTGGCGAAGTTTGGCAAATTTGGCGACCTGAAGTTTTTCAAAGAATATGAATTGGGAACAGAGCAAAGAGGTTTTGCGTGGCCTCGTCTTGGTACTAACAGGAAGTCAATGGTCGTATTCGACTCTAATATTGGAGTTGGAACGATCATCTACATGAATAATCTTTTCAGTGTTGATGCGTAATGTACATGGAGCCCATGCATTAAGGACCGGAACATGCTTGAAAATGCACTCATCGAAATTCAGTATCCGTATGTGCTACAAGTGCTTACCACCAAAAAAATAATCACATCTAGAAAGTAATGCCTTTTTCGGCGTTGAAGTATGGGCAACAAAGTTTTCCGTTCGATCGATAACATCTATGTGGTCTCGGACTAAAGTTAATAACAAATGGGAATTAATCCCCATAACAATACTAGTAACACGATTGCATTGTATTCCTTCTCCACAAAGTCCAGATTATTGATATCATTTCATATATACGAAATGGATAAGAATTGTCCCATGTGGATGAGGATTGCAGATTTTTCTATAAGTTCATTACGAGTCGTTGCCGCAATTGGAAGCAGGTATGAAACTGTGGATTTCTCTCTCTAAACCTCAGATGTCACTTACAAAAGCGAAACTGTTGCAGGGTGGAAAGCTTGATGCAGCAGAAGAGCTGTGCCGAAGGTGTTTAAAATACAACAAAGATTGTGCCAGAGCATGGGAGTATTTGGGTATCATGTTGGAACAGGGACATTGCTATGGTGACGCTGTGGTCTACTTCGAAAATGCCTGGAAATGCCACAGAGAATCATCTCCATCGGTTGGATATCGCCTGGCTTTCACCTACTTGAAGGAGAAGCGTTACCTCGAGGCTATAAGTATTTGCCACAAGGTGTTGAAATCTTTTCCGAACTATCCTCGGACAAAAAAAGACATCCTTGACAAAGCTCGTCTTTGCGTTCGGCCATAGGTTCCTCACTTAACAGGCTTATGAGGTATTACATCAATTTCTAACAGTGAAGCAAGTACATTAGTACGAAGCGCAGTGTTTGAAATAGAAAACTTATTTCCTTTACAGAACATGGCGCCATCAGTCATTTAATTCACTGATCGTTGCAGCAGAAATCATGACCTTTTGAATCACTGTAAATCAAGCTTCAAGATTTTCTGAAGACATTGTGCATAAGTTTCTCCCAAGTAGCGAGGTATATGTGCTTGATATGTTTCATGCTATGAGCAGATTTATAGTATTGCCCAGAGCCTCGAAAAGAGAAGTAAAAGTTTTTGTATCTGACAGATGACCTAATGAACTCAAAAATAAGAATGAAATTCAATCTCATGCATTCAATTTCGTTATCATATTTTTCTAATTTCATGAAAGAATAGAAGATAATTTTGTTGAATAAATTAAAAAATAGAGATAATGATTAAACATGTATGGTGACTATTATTATGATCAATTCATATCGAGTAATCGTTGCATTCTAATATGCACAAAATTGTCTTTGTGATTTACAACAGTGCATTATTATCAGTCTATTTAACATTACTGTCAATTGTCAATATATATATACACTCTCTCAAGTATAATTATTCTCGTAAATCTTTTCTCTGTGTGACGTTTTTTGCTGTTTTTCAACAAATGAAAATTCTCATTCATTATGTGAGAAAAGTATCTGATTTTTTTTCAATAATTTAGAATTCAATGCAACAGTGAAATGTGAATAGATTAGTCTTAAATATTAACCATATTCTTCTGTACAATTTGCTTTTATCATAAGAGAACAGATTGTAAGAAAATATGTGTACACAAAATTATTGAAATTTTTTGAAAAAATTTAATAAGTTTGAAATTTTGTTTTATCATATCTTACTTTTTGTTTTTTCAATCTGATTGTAATTTAAAAAATAGAAATCTTGAGCTGTATATATATTTTCTTTGTATATATCATCTTCGGTTATATTTTATAATAGTTGTGTATGATTTTTCCCATACCTGTTGTATTGAAATAATGGTGACTAAAATTTAAAATAAAACATGAAAGTGATTAAAATATATATATTGGACACAATCGTTGTAACGAAGAGCGAGCGCTAACGTTAGAGCAGTCTAGGTACCTGAAGGAAAGCTGGACCATTTTAACAGTACTCACTATAAATGATGTACCTGATGATGTCACAAAAGACGTATTGGATCATACGTCTTTTGTGGTTATATTTCCGTCATGAGGTTTATCCTATAATAGATGTTTACATCTTCAAAAACTTTCACCATCTCACACGAATGAAAAGTTTCTATACTTTTCTATGGAGGCGCTGGCTTAGATCAGATTTAATCGGATGCTTGTTACTTGAAACTCTGACATAAAAACGTAAACTTTGTTCGCAGTGTTTCTTCTAGCTAAGACCACGAGTACAATCAGATTTCATGCAGAAAATTTATTGTCATGAGAAGAAGACCAGCGACCTGTTTCAATCCATTATTCGTCCATGTCGATGATGACAGAGGGCGCATACTCATTGGGAAAGTAGCAAGGAAGGAAGTAACAATTTATTTTGATATATACACCGCGACAGGTGAAGATTGTTCCTAATACATACAGAAGGCAGCTTCTCTGGGTATAGACTCATCTCCGCAAACATTTTGTCAACTTTTTCCCACCGTTCGTCCTTCGCGTCGACTCAGAAGTAATTGGAAATCCCAAAGACGAAACTCTGAAGAGTGCTACAAGTCTCCACCATCCAGGATTGCAATGCTAGTGTGAGCAACACCTCTCGTCACAGAGAGAAACCTCGGAGGCTCGAAAAATGCCATCTGAATTGAAATCCACTCGTCATTGAAGTTAAAAGACTGCAAATAGTTCATTCGAACGCGTAGCTCGTCGAGAAGACAGCCCCACGTGTTGTACTAAACTCTCATCTAATACACCAGAGATGATGACCCAGGCGGAGATGCCCCTCGACCGATCACAGAACACATTGTCCAAACAATTGTAGGTAACGGAACAACAACAACAGAAGGACCTCCTGGAGGGTGGGGCGTACCTACTGAATCTAACTGAACGAAGATCTGCTGCTAGATAAATACCACCCTCGTCAGAATGAGTCCTCGACGTTGATGGTTCACAGATTCAGACAGCTGAAGCTAGCGAATCTCTGATGGATTCGGCGGCTACTGGCCCACCAGCACTTTATCGTACTTGTCAAAGGTGACGAAGTCATTGAGCTTCGACGAGTTCCCCAGATCCTGAGCTGACGAGACCGACTGCCTGTGTTCACGGAACAGGGCATCATCGCTCCTCACTCTTGGCATCATGGAGAACTCCATCCGCTCGACGGGACGACCCTTCCTGTCGACGAGAGGAGGGTACGCAGACTCCGGCAGTGGCACAAAGCCTTTGCGAGCTTCCTTCGAGGTCGAGACCTTGTCGGGCAGTCGGGAGTGATGCGCCTTGCGGTGGTACCCAGGGTCCTGGCTCACAAGAACAGGGGACAGAACGCCCTTGCTGGCCGGCTTGATTTTGCTGGCACCTCCGCCGCTGTGGCTGCGGCGATGGCTGCTGGCGGCCGAGTGCCCGGCTGCTCGCTTGGACGGCTTGGCCAGGGCCTTGCCCCCGGCACTCTTGCCCAGCGCTGCGCGCGCGACGTTGTTATCGACTGCGTCTCGGTTGGACACGGTCTTCAAAGGTTGTTTGTTCAAATAAAGAATCTGCGGGCACACTCCCGTGATCATGCGCCTCATGTGATCATCTCCCAGGTTCGACTGCACTGGGTTCCCCAGGAGGTTCAGCGCCTGAAGCGACTTGTAATTGGCTGCTAGCTGACCGAGACTTTTCGTGGTCGTAACCTTGTTAAAACTCAGGTCCAGGACACTCAGCTTCGACAATCGGTGAAGCCCCTCCAGCTCGCTGATCTTGTTTCCCGACAAGTAGAGTTCCTTCAACGACATACAGTTCGACAGCCCTGTGCACAAGAGCAAACGCACCGAGACGATCAGATCAGATCAGATTGAATCAGATCCTCGAATTATTATTTCGACACGTTCCGACGTGTGCATGGACTCGAAACCGGTGGCAGTCAGTCAGTTGGGCCAGATTCGTACGAGCACGTACCATTGCCAATTCGAGTGATCCTGTTAAATGATAAGTTCAATGCACGAAGGCGAGTAAGCTCGCGGAGTCCTTCAATCACGACGATCTGGTTCCGGGACAGATCCAGTGTGTGAAGGGATTTTGGGAGGCAGCCAGGCGTGATTCGAACTGCAGAGACAGAGGACCGAACGTCAGATGCATGGAATAAAATGCATGGAACGGAATGGAGTGCATGGAATGGAAGAGAATAGAATGGAATCAAAGCCAGCTTCTCGACGTGAGCTGGACTCGTGAGAACGAACCAGACATGCGCAGCCACCAGCAGCTGGACCATGACGACAACTCAGCCAGCGAGCGAGGATTCCGACAAAAGCTCTGGGCCCGTCGTGGAGGCTCATGTGGCAGAAGAACGTGGAAGGCAGGATTGGGGCCAGCAGGACGACTACTCACCGAAGCTGTTCGCCGAGAGGTTGAGGGTCTTCAAGCTGCCGAAGATCCCCAAGCTCGGCATCACCTTCAATCCGACGCCGGAGAAGTGAGCCACGGTCGACAGCGGATTCACCGACCGGACGACCCTTCGGGCCATCTCGGCGTCGACGTCCAGCACGCCGTCGCCGCGAACCAGTCCATGCTTCTCTTCCGCGTCGGCGAACGGCGACTCCTCGCCCAGCTGAGCGAAAAATGCGGCCGCTGGCGCCGTCGGAGACTCGGGCACGATCTCGGCCCCCTCCATCTGGTCCTCGTCCAGCGTCGGCGCCAACGGGTGCACATTGCTCACCCACTCCTCGACGCGACTGAGACCGGTCTTCTCGGTGAACGCATCCCACCGGCGGGCGGTGATCGACGAGGGCTTGCCCGTCCCGGGGGCGGCCACGAGTTCGTCGGAAGCCGACTCCGGGCCGCCTCCCGACGACTGCCGATACAGATCCTGGTCGGAAAAGCTGCTGCGGAGCATAAGCGATCGCCCCACCGCGCCGTTGCAGTTGTCGCCGTCGGACGCGCCCTCGATCTTGTTCGAAGGCGACGAGCTCCGTCCGCTCCGCGCCTCGCCGTCCGACATGTAGCCGTTGAGCGGCGACAGGCTGCGCCCGCCGTCGCCCTCCGCCAGCGGCCCCAGCGCATCGCGGTGGATGTTGCGGTGCGACACGAGGAACACCTTCCACCACGGCTTCCTTTCGCTCGACGCCCCGAACTTGTACTCGTACGCCGCCTCGGACTTGGGGCTGCCCCCGGGCGCCAACCGGCCGGCCCCGTCGCGCACCTCACCCGTGGTCGACGAGCCGCTCTCGTAAGACAGCCCCGCCGTGGTCTGAGGCCCCGAGAGCACGCTGCTGTTGTCCTGATTGCGCCGGTCGCGGTCGCGCTCGCCATCGCCAGCGTGGCTCTGCTGTTTTCGTTTTTCTGCGACTTCGCGCCCATCGAGCATCGGAGAGCTGCACGACGACTCCAGCAGGCATTTCGGGTACACGCCGGGATCGCTGACGTGGCCACTAGCCATCTCCAGGTCGCCGAAGGAGTGCTCATCGCGCCGGATGGAGCCCGGGCCTCCTCCGCTGGTGGAGAATTCATCGTAATATCGCGCGCAGTCGTTATCCAGCGCCTCGGCGTGCGACGACGAGTCGTCTTCGATCCGGATTGGCTCGCTCCGCGCGTCAGTGGATCTTCGCGCGCCCCTCGCGCTGGCTCCGGTCACATCCTCTTCGTCCTCGCCATCGCCTTCACCCTCACCCTCGTCCTCGCCTTCGTACTCCGCGTCGCCCAGCCCGTTCACGGAACTGGATCTCGTCACGGGCTTGGTGATCGCGGCGTCGCATCTCGTCATGGCCTTAGGGCTTGGCGAGTCCGCGGCCGAGGCCGTTGTCGCAACAAACTCCCGGGCGAATCGCGACTCCGCGTCCGCTGCAGCAGCATCTGCGGCTGGTACGGTCTCCACAGACGCGACGACGACATCTTCCGGCTCGGCGCACACGTGCGTCCGCCCTTCCCCGACGTGGTGCACGCTTCCTTGACTCCGGAAGGCGATCACGTCGTTCGCGACGGTGATGATCCCTTCCTTGCCGCTGGCGAAGAAGCTCACCGAGTACTCCTTGTACGCCGTGCCGTCGGTGACCATGTTGTCATGACTGCCCTTCTTGGCGACGATCGCGTCGTCAATTATGGCCCTCTGCGCAACCACACGGCAAACGAGGTCAGCGGCTTCGCGATTGCGCCATCGAATTCCGACCAATTTCTGCGAGCAAATTTGCGAATCGAGATGAAATTGGCCGAGGGGGGACAAGCGCCCGAGGCTGTCAGTGGCAAGGCGAGTACGGACGGAATTGACCAGCGGGGGGGCGATCAGGGGAAGAGGTCCGTACCTTGACTTTGTTCCTGCGGCAGAACATGCCCCCGAGGCAGGTTACTCCTCCCTTCATGGTGACGGCTGAAACTTCACTTCACACACTCCAAACACTCGGCGTCCGGCGGGAGCAGGGCGCACGAGCGAATCGAGACAACAGATCCTTGCGCAAGATAGACTATCGCAGGCGCAAGAGGCCGTCGAAGATTCCTCTAAGTTCTTGATCTTGTTTCTTAGGAAAATTTCACTACCCAGCATAATCCTCACTGTTCTGATGGCTTCTAATGAATTTAAAAAATGAATCGGAACACCAAAAGAGTACCGAACGGCAAAGCAGCCCGAGGAGAGATGTGGCAAGACGGGATCCCAACCCAACACTACGAGAAATTGACTACATCGATGAGGCTTTTCGATCTTCTGCCCTTGATCTACATTAGCCGTAGTCTACGGAGAGCCCCTGCACCATGCGGCAGGTTCTCCAGACCTGCGAATGTCGAGATTGTGAGAGACCAACGATGGCTGGAGAGAATCCAGCTCGCCCCCACACCTGCGGGGAGGTGCGAGAACGCTGGATTGTAGACGCTGCCAGAGTGAACTGTCAGAAGATCGGTTGGGTAGCCCGTCCCTCAGAAATCCGCCGCGGCCTTCCTGCAATCGCCCGGCACCACAATGAGTCAGATTGATTGCGCTGCGCTTCGCTTCCACGACGCCTCCGGATGCACACACACACACACACAGAACCCTCGCTCGCTCGAAACCGCAACTGGCTAGAAACAGAACATTCTCACGCGCAACACTTCGACGACGGCGGGGCATGGGACAGCGTCCGGGCCCCCGCCCGGGACGATTCAAGCACACGAAAATGCGACACGACGTGCAGAGAGAGAGAGAGAGAGCCTCGGGACGAAACGTTCGACGGGCCAGGATTCCGACAGACGGCAAGGGCATGAAATGCAGAGAAAACGACCCTTCGGAAATGGCAAGTGGGTCTTGCCTGGGCACACAGGCAGCCTGAGCAAACACCCCTTCCCGAAACATTATCCCTCTTCTCCAACACCATCCAAGGTAGACTTCACCAAAAGGTTCGAAACCTTTCTCAGTGCCCTGTTTGAGCAAAAGAAGGAAAAGAGCAGAGATGTCGCAGGTTCAGCACATCATTCACTCCTCACAGCAACACCTCGGCCAATCTACGGCGGTCGTCCGGGCGAGCCCCGGGTTTCCACCTCTGTCCAGCAACAAAAATTCCCCTTTCGACAACACGCACATAGCTCGACTCTGTCACAGGCTACCCTCACGACCCGTCGTCGGCTGCAGGCCACCATTTTTAAACACCGACGCCCGAAATGGTGCCAGCGACTGCGGCGCAACGGCACCTCATGCGACAGCGCAGACAGGATCCCAGACGACTCAGACTCAGGCCAGTACGTTGGGCGACCTCAAGATGGCACTATCTCGTTACTGCAATGAACCACTCGGAGTCAACCGCCTGCACCAGAAATCAGGAGCAGAGGCTCGGCTGTTCGAGCTCGTGGGGACGACGAGGAAATTGCCCGCAGGCGAATGGCGGGCGCAATGAGGACTCGCGCGGAATGCGCGACGCATCTCCTGCCATCACGATCCCCGGGTCCGTTGGACCGAGTCAAAAAGTCGGCGGGTGACTCGAGCCCACTGGACGAGGGAGGAGCGGAGGGCACATGATGCAGGGCGGCGATCACCAGCGGCTACGAGGAGGGCCTACGAGCGGCGCAGTCGAGGAATTATGCCCTCAGATGGACGGACCTGCTCGAGCCGCGTAAAGAGTCGCCTCCCAAGAACCGCGAGAGGTACGTACGACGAGGAATACTACCGCTCGATCGACATGAACACAATCACGACACGACACATGAACTGCGACGAGCCCCGGCCACTGACGACAGATTTCAAATTGTACGTTGCAGAAATGCAAGAATCCTAGCGACTGAATCGCACAGGAGGACGAGGACGAGGACGACGAAGAGAAGGTGTGTACCTCGCAACTGCAGAGTCTGAAACCACTGATAGTCCGACCAACAAATTTCTACGAGGACACGCCCCGATCTCGGATTCTCCCTCCTTCGCCTCTACGTCCGCACCGGTTTGCCTGCCTTCGCTTCCTGCATAAGCGCCTCTCTATCTCTCTTTCTCTCTCTGTCGCTGTCTGCCTGTCTCTGTCGCTATCTCTCAATCTCTCTGTCTTCAATCTCGACGTCTGTCGCTCTCCCTCGAAGGCTTCTCTCCTCTGAACTAAACTCAACTCCAACTCGACTCGATTCGACTCGACTCGAATCGACTACTGCCCTCGCTAGCGATCTTCCTTGCCTTCAAATGCTGTGGTCGGGTCTCATCATAAAGAGTTGTGTGTGGGGGACTGAATCCCTTCACGCCCTGGCCTGCGTGCCTGCCTGCCTCCGCCTCTGCCTGCCTCGGCCTGCCTGCTTTCCTGCCTGCCTCTTACTGTGTCCCTTCTCGCTCACTTACCTTACCCTACTTGGATCCTAACCAGATGGAACTACTAACCTCGACGCGGTCGTTCCCGAGGGACCGCACGGCTTTCGGGGAAAGGCTGGGAAAGGCTGGCACGACGCGAGGTCCGAATCCGATTCACCTCTACATCTGTCGGCGGTTCTAGCTCGACCGGATGTTAGGTTGACTTGCTACGTTAGGGTTATTGTTCTTACTGCCCGTGGCGATTCCCGAGGATTGACAGGGATCTGTAGCTTCGCTATTGAAGGACTGCCACCGCTGAAAGCGAAGCATCTGGGCTCCTCTTTCCGAGCCCACAGGCACCAATAAAGTAATTTAATAAATTCCCTATTAATAATATAAAAACCTTCTCACGTACGCTTCATGACTGGGCAGTGCAGGAAATTAGTAGTTGTGAAGCATGCTGTAAGATGTAGCTTTCGATACTCGTTTTAGTGGCTAATTTTAGAGATAGGTAAGTTCATCGACCGTTCTCCTCACCTCCATATCGTAATTACAATCGATCCGCCGAAACTCCTTGAGCATGACCTTCTATGTACGAGAAACGAATGCCAGACGTATCCAACTCAATCGTCCAGCACAAGTAGATTAGAAAATGAAAAATGTTTTAAATTGGATGTTCTGGTAGGTTCATCATCCGTTGTCCTCACCTCCAGATTCGTAATTACAATCGATTCGCCGAAACTCCATGACCTTCTATGTACGAAAACGAATGCCAGAGATATCCAACTCGGTCGTCCAGCACAAGTAGATTGAAAAATGAAAAGCGGGTAAAATTGGATGTTCCAACCAGTACTAAACAGAGCGACAAAAAGAATTTGCCGTCTTGCTTTTATTATTATGCAGTTATGAAAATGTAAATTAATTTTGGAACCGTAGTGGAACCCAAAATAATTGTTGAGACTCAACACAATTCACCGTCATATTCCATCGTCGCCTATTTTTCAATAGGATTTTGTGTAAACCGATAATAGTGTGGGGGAATGAATGCCACTATTGGATCAAAGTGTTCTCACGGTTCTACCTCGTTCATGAGGTTGAATTGTTATCATTAAAATCTATAATTAATTTTTAAGTGTTATCATGAAAATCTATAAATACTTTTAGTGACGAAATGCAATTCAAAATAGCCAGAAAATTCTTGATGTCGGCCGACTAGGGTGTATTGCCATGATTAATACCGAAATCGCAAATCTCCGTCTCCTAGGTCACGGCGTGCGGCAACAAGACGCCTTCCAGATTCTTATGGCCGCCCGGCATCTTTCACTCTCGGAGTTGCGCAATTCAAGTACTCCGTTATGACAAGAGATATCTTTTGTAACTCGCTGAAATTTCCATACCAGATCACGGTACGGAGTCAAATTATCATCCTAGATGAGAATATGGATCATTAAGTGATTTCGTATGGGAAGCTCACTACCTTTTAGGCGGTGGTTCTGATGACATTAACAATATGCGTTGTGAATAAAATAAGGGAGGATTGATTGCTAGCCCGGTGACGAAGAACGAGCTCATGGAATGGCAACCGGCGAGAAACAGATGTCCAATTGCTAGCCCGGTGACCGAGGACGAGCCCATCGAGTGGTTGTCAACGGAGCTCAAATTCGAGCGTGAGTTCAATTGATGCATAGAACAACAAGCAGTACATCTTTGACTTCTGACGAGAAGATGTATCGTTCGGTGATTTCAGATGAAAGCTCATGCTGTTTCAAGCGTTGGCTATTATAACATTAACAATGTGCTTTGTGAATCAGGTTACAGAGCATCGATTCAATTGTAATGATTAGATGCTACTAGGCTTAGTAATGTGAGAGCGATCTCAAGCTAAAGTTAAAAAAGAAAAAAATTCATGTCACAGTTTGTTCCTTGCCATAGTGGTAGGATTGAGAAGATGTATAATTTGGTGATTTCGGATTAGAAGCTCACGACGTTCAAGTCTTGGCTAGATGACATTAACAATGTGCGTTGTGAATCGGGTGACAGAGTACTCATTGCAAACTCGGTGACTAATTACAAGCTCATGGAATGGCTGTCGACGGGAACACAGGTCTAATTGCTAGCCGAGTATCGGAAGTAGAATTCATGGATGGCTGCCATCGGATCAAATGTCAAATTGCTAGCCCCGTGACGGAGAACTAGTCTATCAAGTGGTGCTAGCGAAGGCCAAATTCTAGTCTGATTTTGGCAGTTTGCTCATCCAGGTCAAGATTCCCTAATTGTGGTAAGTCAAGATCAACACGAGCTCAAGCACCATGAATTTGGCCTCCGCCGGCAGCCGTTCAATTGTCTTGTTCTCCGTTACCGAGCTAGCAAATTGACCTTTGATCGAGCGACAACTACTTCATGAGCTCTTCTTCCATTACCGGGCTAGCAATTGAATCCGTGGCCCCATCGACAGCCATTCCATGAGCTTGTACTTTGTCACCGAGTTAGCAATCGGTACTCTGTCACCTGATTCACAATGCACATTGTTATTGTCATATAGCCAAAGCTTGGAACACCGTTAGCTTCCCTTTCGAAATCATCAAATGATACATCTTTTCAATCCTATCACTATGGCAAGACACAAACCGAAAAGTGAACTTTTTTCTTTTTTAGCTCTAGCTCGAGATCTCTCTCTCATTACAAAGCCCATTAGCATCTAATTCTTGCAGTGGAATGTACTCAAGCCGGAGATAGTTATAGATAATAAGTGATTGTGTGTTACATGGCTCTCGTGGAGTGTTCCATCAGTTTCCATGTGTTGGGTTTCAACAAGTGTTTGGTTGTTAACGTTTACAAGATAGCCATGAAGTTAATTTCTCATTCTAAATAGAGTATTACAATTTGATTATTCTGCATTAAAAAGTCACAAAGACAAACATATGATATAGATTATTTCCATCCAAACATCAAGAAAATCTATGAAGAATGTCCATAGTATTGTATGTAATCTTTTGAGTAAAATCTTTTGAGTATGTAATGAATTAAAAAATTAATATCACATAAATAATATTTGACCATTGATTTGACAATCAATGATCAAATATTTTAAACACATTTTTGTTTCAACACTTATACATACTTAATTTATGTACAAGTCAAGTATATTTATAATTTAAATAACCAAAAAATTATTTTATTAAATATTAAAGACTCGTTTTATGTAATAGATATTTTAGATCAAAAAGTTAAATCAAATTATCCATACGTTTTTTATGTCAAAAGAAATTTTTAATGATTATTCAATGCATTGAGCTAAATATCGCAAATGATACATTAAATACATTGTTATGATAAATATTTTTTATTGAAGATTGATAAGATAGAAACAAAATGAATAAAAAAAATTATGTATGTATAAATTCTTTATATTTGAACATATAAATTATTCTATGTTTATCATTGTTAATTGTGCGCATGAACCTTATTGTTCTTAATAAAATAGTACTGAAGTATCAACAACAATCATCGAAACATAGTTATAATTAAATATTATATATATATATATATATATATATCATCTGAACATAATAATTAGTGTATATGTGTCAACATGATAGAGTAATTTACACTTTTGTGTGTGGAGATGTTGTATACTGTAATTGCTATTGACATTGCTTTTGAAATTGATATAATATTGATTTTATATTATATAAAATAAACAAAATTTGTTCTAATTGTGCTTCCAATTTATTTTATATATTTATTTATTATTATTTTGATCCATTATTATTATTTATATTATTGTGGATTATTAAAAAAATATTTTTAATACTAAATATAAATATAAATTTTTCTTTAAAACATATATAAAGAATTTTTAAAGTACAAATGGAAATTTATAAGGTGAACAATATTCAATTGAGCTTATAAAAAATAAGGTTTATTCATTATATTAAATATCAGTTGTATAACTATGTATTCTACGCTGTATTCCTTGCAGGGTTGATTCCATAATTTTGATTGTTGAAGTATCTCTAGTGTGTATTTGCATATTTTGATCATCAATAATGGAAGATTATACCATAAGAGTTAAGAATAATTTGACAATTTACAATTAATGTTCAAGTTTATATACATATTAAAAATTATCAAACTTTGTGTTTGACTCTTTGTTAATTATACATCTGACTTCTCTGATTAGATATCATGATGACTGAACAATAAGTTGTAATAATCGAAAGGTACTCGCGGAAATTAACAAAAGAGAAAAGATTTCGGCAAATTTGGCGAGGTTTTTTTCAAGGCAATGTGAAGTATCTTACATTTTTTGTTTACGGTCCTTGTGGATGGTGAAGTGACAAGTCTGGAATAACTTTCGCCCTAGGGGATGCTCCTACATTACTAAGCCCTCACGGTAACGGGTTCTAATGCATTTTACAATGACAAATCATAAGCTTTTTATTACAAATAAAGAGTACAATCTTAAACCGATATCTGGTAAATTCCAAATATACATCAACAAAGATGCATAATTTATTTCAAATATATATTGTTGGATTTAGTTTAATCAACGCTTTAGAATTATTTTTTAATTGTATTGAGATTGTAGAAATCTTCCGCTTCATGATTTGAGAAAAAATTTTTTAAGAGATGAATTCTTTTCAATGTGATTATATTATTATTAAATAGATGAAAAACGTGATTTGCAGAACAATTGTATCTTTGTTGACTATATTTGAAAATTCTTAAAAGGGTAATCATATATCGAAAGTCCAAACAATTTCTTTCAAGGAATCCAACTAAGTCTACTATCTACTAAGTGTATAGGAGCTCCAAATAAATGAGCTTAATATATGATTTTGTTGAGGAAATTAGTGACTTATATGTTTGTTTGATTGTTCTTTTATATGCATAACGTTTAAATGAGATATATATAATGTCTTATGTTTTGACAGATAAGATGTTTTACTTGTAATTAGCTCATCAATTATACATCTTTCCCCCTCATACATATAAAAATAAACCTCAGCAAAAGGCTATCATACTCTTCTCTTTTTTACCAATTTTAACATTTC